GAAGGACGCCAAGACAAGAGTCTGATCAAGGCGGCGTTTATTGCCGGCAAGCACCGGCCTTTTAAAGCAAAAAACCACAAACTATTATGGGATGGGTTTACCATAGTAACTGAAAGGTCACACAGGAAAAGAGCAAACAGGTTCACCAAAACAACCCACCGTGAGTAGTAGTAACCCGGACAACCACACATCTAAAGGTCAGAGACAAGAAACTGTAACTTTCAGGAATTCCACAAAGGAAACACTCTACCTGCTCAACTGGAGAAGCTTAACACACATGGAGTTACTAGAGTTAACAGTACTTACAACCAATACTCATGATCCCCACATGAACCTAAATAAATAAAATTAATAATTTTAAAAAATAAAATTAATGACTGAGAAAATGGCCAGGAAGAATAAAGCAAATTTGGAGTTGTCTGTTGTCTTGTTATATTCCTTCTTCCCTTTATTTCTTATTATAAAGAGCCTTAGGACCATTATGTTCACTCTTGCCTGGATGGCCACCATCACACTGCAGGGTGTACTTCTTTTCTTTTGGTACCAGGGATTGAACTTGGGACCTTGTGTTTACAAGGCAGGCATGACGCCACTGGGCAAAACCCCCAGTCCTTCTTTATGTCTTTAGTACTAGGGATTGAACATCAAGCTACCCACTAGCTGTATGTTTGTTAGATCTTTATCTATTTATTTACTTATTTATTATGTATCTATTTATTTATAGACAGGGGCTAAGTCACTAAACAGTCCCAGTTAGTCTTGAACTTGTGACCTTCCTGCCTCAGCATCCGAGAATGCTGACAGTAATTTTTCTGTGAGTTACAGAAAGCAAAACATTTGGTAGGTACCCTTCAGATAATAACAGAATGTGTGACTATAAATTTACAATCACTTTATCTATGGCCCACCTGCTAACGCTGAAAACACACCTCTACCAAATCTCTACGTAAGCCTTGCTCCTGCAACCCCTAAGCAAGGTGGCATTTTCCTAAAATCAGTATCCATTTTCAACTTGTCTACTTGTTTCCGATAAAGCTCTTTCTTCCCTTATCTCTGTCTGAGTTATTGGCTTCCCCCTGATATAAGAAAAATACAACTTCCAATCTGCTAGATGTCATATGCACTGAGTTTGTGTTCCCTGAAATCAAAGAATGAATTCCAAGGAACAGTGGAGGTTAAGAGTATGAAAGGTTTGTTGAGAGATACCTCCTGAGACACAGGAGAGGTCCAAAAGTTAGGTGGTCACCGAGCCCTTTGGTCAGGGGTAAATTTATATAGCAAAGTCACAATACGGGTACAACATGGGTCAAGCTATAACCAACCTATAGGATTACAAGTATAGCTACTCAGCTAATATTGACCCAACAGGATCACATAGCAAGGGTACATGGAAAGAACAAAGGCATTTTGGGGAAGGGATGGGTCTGACCCCACCTGGGCGAAGGATGGGCATCTGAACTTCCTGGAGCAGGTGGTGCTAATTATAATTCCAGGTTGCTGTTTATTCCTTAGGGAGGCATGTAGGCCTGGCCACTGAATTTTTATCTTGAAGCCTGGCCTTCAGATGCCCTCCAACCACAATTCTTTTTTTTTTTTCCCAACCACAATTCTGATGTCTTTATTTCTGCTGACTTCTTTAAGAGCTTAGTACCTTTCTGATTGTGCATTATTTTTATCTAAATCATCAGCCTACAATACTCCGATGGGAGCTGTTACTTTGGCAGTTACAGGAGCACCCACAACAGTGTAAGAGACTTGGTTGAGGCTGATGGTAAGAACAATAACAGTTCTTCTCTGGACTGGGTTGTAACTGAATGGAGCACTTGCCTAGCATGTTCCAGGCCCAGGGTTTGATCCACAGTACCAAAAGACAAAAACAAAAACAAATAACAAACTAGGAAACCTGGCATGGTGGGGCTTGCCTATAATCCTACCACTCAGAAGGCTAAAGCAGGAAGATTGCCCCAATTTCAAAGCCAGCCTGGGCTACAATAGTGAGTACAAGATGAGCCTGGACTACACAGCGAGAGTCTGTCTCAAAATTTTTAACTGAACACTAAAAACTGGAGGGAAACAACAACAAACAGGAGGGGCAGACGCTTGTAATCCCAGTACTCTCTGGAGATGGAGGCAGGAGGATCCCAGATACAAGCCCAGCCTAGGCAATTTAATGACTCAGCGAGATCCAGTCTCAAAATTAAAGGGGGGGGGCATCTGGAGATGTATTTTAGCGAGAAAGTTCTTCGTTTCAATCTCTAGTATCTAAGAAAAAAAAAGAAAGGATATTAAATCATGACCCTAGCATATTTTAATTTGGGACTTCATTTCCCAGAGCCCTTCGCGGTGAGGACTAGGCGTTGTCATGGGGAAGCGGAAGGACGCCCCTCAGTTGGACTGAAGCAGGGCAGGAAGTATAATAACCGGAAGGGCCGGAGGCATGTCATCCTGGACAAATCACAGCACCGGAAGATTTACTTCCGGCAGCGTGAGTCGGAGGCTAGGGGCTTCTGGCACGCTCTTGGTGGGGGTGGCGTTCATTTTGCTCTTGACAGGTTGTATCCGCCCTTGGGACGGAGGGGTCGCTTCTCCGACGCCTCCTGGAACCCGCTGAGAAGAACTGTGAGGAGAACGTGTCAGCCTCCATTCGAGTGTGACCCTGCAGGGATTGTCCTCTACACAGGCTCCCTGGCATACAGCCCAGACGGTGGCGCTCCGGGCCTGGGCGCATTTCCTGACGAAGAAGTCTAGAACTTGGCATCGGCTCGTTGTCATCGCCCAACGGAGCGCGGCGCCCCATGGCAGCTGCAGCCGCGGTCCCGGTTCGGGTGAGCGGAGCGAGCTTCGTCCCTCGCCTCCGCTGCCTTGCGTTGTTTCCCCAGCGTGAGGCTGGTGCCAGACCCGGGGCCCAGAGTCCCTGCCATGCCTTCCTTGCAGAGCTTCCCACTTCCGGAATTATCGAACTGTGGGAGATGTTACAGGAATAGGAACCAAGATGTCCACATGCTTGGAGTGAGCTGAGCTTGGGGTGTTCAAATCCTGCTATGTCTGAGGAACAAGGCGCAAGTGGGGGGGCAGGCCTGGAGTGACAGCGTGAAGAGCTGGCCTGTGATGGTGGAGGGACCCAGGGAGGCTTGCAACACAGGAGGGAGGTAGTCACAGATGTTCCCAGGCTCTGGCTGCAGATGTGAGGCCAGATGGTTGGGGAGAGGTTCAAAGCAAAGGAAAGGAGGCCTATAGGACTCTTACCTTACATAGACCACGTGAGTGATGATAGCTTGCCAATCTTATGACTGTAGACATGGGAGAAATGGTTATTTTTATTTTTTGGTACCGAGGATCAAACTCAGGACCTTGCGCTTGCCAGGCGGGTGCGGTGCCACGGAGCCATACCCCCCCTCCCAGAAATGGTTAAATTTGGGTTTGTGTTTTCCGTTGGGCCAGCAAGAATATATGATGTGGAGGATGAGCGAGAGAAAAAAGACTCAGCCACTAGAAGGTGGAAGTGCATGTCCACTGAGATGGGGAGTCAGTAGGTAGACCAGGTTTTCAGGGAAGGTCAGAAGGTGAATTTTTTTTTTTTTGTGCCATGTTGAATCTGAGATACCCCTAGGAATTCCTGAGTGGAGGTGTCCAAAGGATAACTGGACACACAGGGCTGAGTTCTACTCAGGGATTCAGCTTAGAAATACCTGGTCACTACCAGTCTGTGAACCAAAGCAGAACTCTGGTCATATTTAGGAAGGAGAATCTTTAGGTCACCATGGTGCATGCCTGGTGGTGTGGCAGCTGAGCATGAGGTGACTAGCCTAGGTATGGTGTGGATATCACAAATCAGATGAAGAGAGAAGCATCCTCAAGAAAATATGTGAGAGAGAAGGGTCCAGAAGATGACTAATGTTTCTGGGATGTACTCTGAGGCACACTGAGATGAGTAGAATGATGGTGGGACCAGGAATAGTGTATATTCCCTTCTCCGTGTGCTCACTGTGGGGCTTTTGGGGTTGCCTTGTACAGGATGGATGGTTTCATACAGGATGGCAGTGTAGCTCAGTGGCAGACAGAAACGGGAGTTTCAGGCCTGAGGTAGAAAGTGGTGAGGTTGGACTTGAATACTCATAATGTCAAGGGGGTATACTGCAGTGGTAAGAAGACAGTGTGCAGAAAGGCACAGGAACCTGGAGATCTGTATGGTTCTGAATGACTGTGGGTTGAAGGAACAAGGCTATGAGGCAAGGGATGGGTACTACTAAATGTATCAGTAGTGTCTTTTGGAGGTCTGAGGCAGAACGGGATTTTTCTTTTTCTTTTTGGTATGGGGAATCGAACTTGGGACCTTGCGCTTGTGAGGCAGGTGGTGGAACCACTGAGCTAAATCCCTGGCCCGGATTTTTTTTTTCTTTATCTTTCTTTTTGGTGGTGGTGGGGTTGGGGATTAAATCCAGGACCTCTGCACTAAGCATCATTCCCAGTAACTTTTTTTTTTTTGGTTCGGAGATCAAACCCAGAATCTTGCACTTGTGAGGCAGGTGGTAGAACCACTGAGCTAAAATCCCTGAGCCCACCCCCCGCCAGTAACTTTTTTTTTTTTTGGTACCAGGGATTAAACTCAGGTCCTTGCACTCACGAGGCAGGTGGTGGAACCACTGAACTAAATCCCTGGCCCTCCCCAGTAACTTTTTAATTTTTTGAGTCAGAGTCCTACTGTCACTAAGTTTCTCAGGCTGGGCTTGAACCTGTGGTCCTCTGCCTCAGCCTCCCAGTATGCTGGCATTACAGGTGTGTACCACAGTGCTCAGCTTAGGCAGCATCTTGATTGCTCTCACGAGGCAGCCAAGGTCTGGACATTTGCAGAAGCACCTGGGGAGGAGGGAATGATGCTGGTTGTGTGGGCCATTAGGTTGGCAATAGGCCTGGAGGAGGTCCAAGGAGTAATGTGCACATGCATAAGTGTGAGGCAGTGGGCAAGGAGGTCAGGGCCTAAGGAAAAGGGTAAGTCCCAGCCTGGTGTTTCTGGAAGGCAGAACCTGGGGACCCCAAGCTTATATACCATCTACCTATCTATCTGCTAAGGGTGGACACATGGGAGACAAACATGGGGTACTGGGAGGAGAGTTATTTAGGGACACATCTGTGGAGGGTATCTAGGAATCATGGGAGAAGAGACTGCTGCCAGAGAAGTGGTGGGTATGGGGCTGAGGTACAGATGGGGTTTTCTGTATTTTCCGCCCATTTTTCTTCCATCTGTTGGTCTGGTTCACTTATCTGTTGCCATCATGCCAGGACCAGATGACCTTTGAGGATGTGGCTGTGTACTTCTCCTGGGAGGACTGGGGCCTCCTTGATGAGGCTCAGAGACATCTGTACCATGAAGTAATGCTGGAGAACTTTGCTCTTGTAGCCTCACTTGGTAAGGCCCTCATGTCTGCCCCAGCATCTCATTCTGGGCCCTGCCCTTCCTTTGTTCTCCAAGAGCAACCCTGTTTTCCTCCCAGTGGAGCATGAGAGCTGCTTCCTCACTATAAGTATGACCTGCTCCTGTCCCTGCAGATCTTTGACCCTGTATGAAGTTCTCCTGGGAAGGAGTCAAGGCTGGAGTTTTAGTCTGCTTCTTGAGTTTGTCCATATGGTAGCACCTCTGTGCCCCAAATTCTGCTTCCCTCAGATCAGACACTCCCAGGAGCCTGGCTATGACAGGCACTAACATGGTTACTGCTTGTGGGGACCATAGAGCTGTTCCTCTGAGATACTTCTTAGAGGCTTATTTTGTAATATTGAGTTTCCTGTGCAAAGATGAACTGAGTTCCCTTTGATCTTTCATGAGAGGGCTGCACTGAGTAGGCACAAACACTCACCTGGCTTATATTTCCCAGGACTTACAGCTTCCAAATCTGTGGCTTCCCAGCTGGAGCAGGGTAAAGAGCCTTGGGTGCTGAACAGGGTGGATTTGTCTCCAGCCACAAAAGAATCCCAGAGGAAGCCTTGGCCTGGTGAGTGGGAACTGGGAACAGGTGACATGGGGTTAGCACTGTGGCAGGCACCTGACTTGTACCCTCTGGTGTTTAGTTGCTGGGGCCAGTAACCACACTTTACTCCCACCTTCATTCCTCTTTTTTTTTTTTGAGACAGGGTCTCACTAGGTAGTTGAGACTGACCTGGAACTCACTATGTAGTCCAGGCTGGGCTCAAACTCACAGCGATCGTCCTGCCTCATCTTCCCGAGTGCTGGGATTACAGGCATGCACCACCATGCCCGGCTCATTCCTCATTCTAAACAACTCCATTTGGTATTTGTACTCTGACCTCGACCTCGGACCCTTGAATGGTGGATAACCCCATCACTCTGACTTCTGTGTCTTCCCCATTCCCCTCTGCTCCCTCCCTTTGCCGAGTGCCCCACATTATCTTACACTCAGTGTATATTAAGGGGTGCACATATCCTCATGTAGACTGTGAGCACCAGATCCTTGGTTGCACTGGACCTCCCTAGTTTTGTCACATTGCTCTGTGTCCCATTTTCCTATCAGAGATCCCTAGAGTTGGTTTGTGTCAGATTCTGCTGAGATCTGAGGCATGAGTTGGAGTCCCCACTTCCCCAAGCCTTACCCTTACCCCTGTGTGTGGAACCTACTGAGGCCCCTCCTACTTTGGCACAGGCCCAGTGCTATCCTGCTGGCTTTTCTTTACCCAGCTCATTCCTTGCATATGTCAGATATCTTTGTCAGGAGGCTGCCTCTCTCAACACAGTCTGCATGTATGTCACTACATTACTCTACCTGCAGGTTGCTGGCATGGAGCAGAGGAAGCCTCTCCTGGACAAGGTGTTTCCAGAGGATCATTCTGGTTTGGGACTCCTGTGGCAGGTCCTTCTATCGAGAAGACCAGTACCTGTGACATGTGTGGTCCAGTCTTGAAAGATATTTTGCTCCTTGCTGAACATGAAAGAACACGTTATGGGCAAAAACCATACATTTGTGGGGCATGTGGCCAAGGCTTCTGGATCACTGTGAACCTTCACGACCTTCAGAAGGAGCACAGTTCTGAGAAAACTTTCCTGTGCAGGGAGGGTAGGAAACACACTCTGGAAGGCTATGATGTCCAACACCAGGTGCCCAGAAAGGGGAAGCAGTGCAGGATCCCTGAGCACAGGATGGCCCTCCCACCTAGTTCCAGTCATGGGCCACAGCACGGCATCCATACCATGCAGAAGCCCTTCAGATGTGGTGACTGTGGAAAAAGCTTCCTGAAGGCCTTTGCCCTCCTTGACCACCTGATGGCTCACCCTAAAGAGAGACCTTTGCAATTCCCAGCAGGTGGAAATGTCCCCAAGGAGAACTCAATCCACATCAATTTCCAACAATTTCCCACTGATCAAACATCACATGTATGTAAGGAATGTGGGAAGGTCTTCAGCCATATGTTTAAACTGAGATTGCACCAGAAGGTTCACACTGGAAAATCACATCACACTTGCAGCAAATGTGGGAAGGCCTTCACCCGCAAACATTCACTCATCCAGCACCAGAGAATTCACACTGGAGAAAGGCCTTATGAATGTGGCCAGTGTGGGAAATCCTTCACTCGTAGCTTCCATGTTGTTCGGCACCAGAAAGTTCACAGTACAGAAAAGCCTTACGAGTGTGGACAGTGCCGGCGAGTCTTTAGTTGTGTCTCCAATTTTACTGAGCACCAGAAAATCCACAGTGGAGTAAGGCCTTATGAGTGCAAAGAATGTGGGAAAGCCTTTATTAACAGTTCCCATCTTGTTCGCCACCAGAAGGTTCATAACACACAAAGGCCTTTTGAGTGCAGTGAATGTGGAAAAGCCTTCCGGCAAACCTCAAAGCTCATTCTTCACCAAAGGAGTCATACTGGAGAGAGACCTTACAAGTGCAACCAGTGTGGGAAAGCCTTCAGTTGCCTCTCCAACCTTGTTCCTCACCAGCGAATTCATACTGGTGAGAAGCCTTATGAATGTTCACAGTGTGGGAAAGCCTTCAGTCAAAGTTCTGCCCTCATTCAGCACCAGAAAGTTCACACTAGAGAAAGGCCTTATGAATGTAGTGAGTGTGGGAAAGCCTTCAGCTATAGCTCTAACCTTGTTAAGCACCGGAAAGTTCACAGTGGAAATAGGCCTTATGAATGCAGGCAGTGTGGGAAAGCCTTCAGTGAAAGCTCAGTCCTTAGTCAGCACCAGAGAGTTCACACTGGGGAAAAGCCTTATGAATGCAACCAATGTGGAAAAGCTTTCCGATACAGCTCTAATCTTTCTAAACACCAGAAAGGTCACATTGGAAAAGAGCCTTCCAAGTGCAGTGGACAAGGGAGCATCTTCAGCCAAAACTCTAGAGTCTTCCAGCACAAGAAAGGTCATGGTAATAAAAGGCCTTAGGAGTGTGGTCAGAGTGGGAACACACTATCTGGGACTTTCTTCTTGTTTTGTATGAAAGGACTCATTCTGTGGGAAAATTATTTTCACTGTTGTTGTTGTTGTTGTTATGCCTAGGGTTAAACCCAGGGTACTGTGTAGGTCAGGCAAGCACTGTACCACTGAGCTACATCTCCAACCTACATGAGAAAATTTCTGTGAGGAAGCTATCAGCAAAAAGTTGAAGGTTGTACATGTCAACACCCATCATGGGGAGATTGCCTCTGAGTGCCAGATATGTAGAGAGTAGGAGCTGTGTTATACTTTTCTAACCCATCCAGGTCCTTTGTCAGATTACGTTACTGACAGACACCATCCTTCCTCTGCTAGTGGGCAGGCCTGCACAGCATGTGCCTGTATTCTTGCGGGAGGCAGACCTTGCTTTCATTCCTGGGAGGAAATACTAGGAGTCCTTTGTGGTCACCTGTTTCCACCTCTCCCTTGTCCTCCCAGTGGTTTAGTCTTTGCCATGACCTAGTTCACTCCAAAAAGACATGAACTGGAGTCCACTGAGGATTTCTAGAGATTTATATTCCTTTTATTTTTTTTTTTTTTTAATTTTTTGGTACTGGGGTCTAAACTCAAGGCATTGTGCTTGTGAGGCAGGTGGCAGCACCACTGAGCTAAATCCCTGGCCCGAAGACATATTACTGACCCTTGTCAGGTTCTACATGACACTTAGAGTGGGTCTGTCCAGATTCCAGTCATCCAACCCTGGAGCTACCTGCCTTCAGAGTTTGATAATGCAGGCCTTATTTTTGAAGGTCCCCCTGCCCCCATACTAGGGATTGAACAATGCACATGCTAGGCAAGTGATTTACCACTGAGATACTCCAGTCTTTATTTTATTTTGACTTTAACACAGGTTTCAAACAAAAAACCCTCACAGGCCTCACTAATTTGTCCAAGTTGGCCTCAAACTTGTGATCCTCCTGCCTCATCCTCCCAAGTAGCTGGGATCACAGGCTTATGCCACTGTCTTGCTGAAGCCATCTGTTAATGCAGAGGCTCCACACATTTGGTGAGGGGTGAGGTAGGATGACTGGGATCTAACTGTGAGGAGGTGAAGGGCTTCCCTTGTCCCAGAGAGGACAGTAGGAAGGCAATTAGTTCTCAGTACAGTAACCTAGTTTGCCTTGAGGTCTTTGGTTCAGTTCATGTGTCCTGGTGCCAGAACTACCTGTTGGGTCCAGAGCATGGATATTTGGTGTGGCAATTGCCAGTATATCCTGGGGCAGCAGGAGTTCCCTTTGTTCCCAGGAATGTCCTCAATCAGCAGTGTTGAGGGCTTCTGTCTTCTGGGACCTACCCATGAATAAGGCCTCTGAAGTCCAGAATCTCTAACTAAAGTGTCATTGGGTGTAAGATTTTATATATTTATTTTTTAGATAGGATTTCACTATGTAGACTGGTCTTGAACTCACTATGTAGCCCAGGCTGGCCTCCAGTACTGGGATTATAGGCACATGCTTCCACGCCTGGCAAAGATTTTTAATGGCTAAGTGTGGGTCCCTAAGAGGGAACAGAAACACTGGGTTTGAGGTCAGGGAGACCAGCTCAAGATAGCTGGTTGTGTTCATTCAATTCCATATCACATGGGCAGCTTCTAATTGACCACAGTGGGGTAATTTATACCATAAAAATCAGCAAATATCAAATCTTTGAAAAATACAAGACGTTAGGGCCAGGGTTTAGCTCAGTGACACGCTGCTGGCCTTGCAAGTGCAAGGTCCTGAGTTTGATCGCTGGTACCAAAAAAAAAAAAAAGACATGATTTTCAGGGTTTGTCAAATTTTCTCAGACAATGACTTTGGCCACCAAAGAGATAGCTAAGCAGATCTAACATAGCTCGTGTACCCTCATCTTGCACTACCATAGTCCTAGAACAAGTGCAGAGGCAGGTTTAGAATGGGCAGTACAACAGCATCCTAGTCATTGGCAGAGCAGATCACCTAAAGCCTTGGTGTGTTTGTCAACGTTCTGGGGTACACCATGTCATGGCCATCCCTGCACAGGTGGGAAGCCCAGTACTCAGGTAAGGGAGGCCTGATGGCTCAAGCATGTGGCTTTTGTGGCTCAGCCAATAGTCCTACAAGCATAGAATGGCCAAGGCCTTTGACATCTGCTGTTTTTTTGTTTGTTTTGTTTTTGTTGTTTTGTTTGTTACAGTCTCTGAGGTAGTGCTGTCCAAAGATATAAAGAATAAAGATGGTAGGATCACTATAGTTGCCCTATTTCTTGGTTTCCAAGAGGACATTTACTATCTTCTGACTTCATAAAAATTTGGTGGTGTAGGGGGTACCAGGGATCAAACTCAGGACCTTCTGCTTGTAAGGCAGACGCAGTGCCACTGAACTAAATCCTTGGCCCTAACTTCATAAATGTTATGTTTGAAACCACTTTCTCCAAACTTCTATAGAAAGCTGGCTAACCTATGTCTATAAAGTCTACACATGCAGACACATGGGCCTGGAGTTGTGACTGTGAAGCAAATCAGGCTGGAGGGAGCCCAGGGCTCCCTCCCCAGACAGGAAGTACCCTTTGGTCCACAGTGATTACTTCACAGTTGCAGAGTCAGTGGCACACTGCAGCAGCTCCCACTAGGATGACTCCCCCCTAGTATCCTAAAGCAGGGAGACCACATGAAGAACAGTCTCGAGGCAGGCTTGTCAGTGAGCATGTGGTAGGTCTCTGTAAATTCTCCCCAGAATCTAGAGGTACTAAAACAAAGCCTGACCTCAGGTCACCTTTCTGGATATAATAATTGTCTCCCACCAGTATGGAAGAGCTGCTTGTAATGAGTTAAAGCCCTGTTGAGCTATATGTGCTTCAAAGTGGGGCAGACATTTGTCATCAGAGCTCATCCTTTTTATCCTGCATGGTCACCCATAGGTAGTCATTTAAAGCAACTCAATCTCCTTTTATTGGCAGAGAGTCCTTGACTTGAGCTTGGCCTTTGGTTTCCCCAACAGGACTCTGTGCAAGGTAGCTGGGCTCTTCCTCTTCCTCTTCTTCTTCTTCTTCCTCCTCCTCTTCCTCCTCCTCCTCCTCTTCCTCCTCCTTCCTTCTTTTTTTTTTTTTTTTTTTTGGGTTTTT